CAGGAAGAGGAAGGGGCCCCCGGTGACCCCCACCGGCGGCGTCCAGGTAGGGCCGGGCAGAGGGCGGGTGGGATATTGCTTCTTAAGCCACACCGGAGACTTGACACTGAGCAGGAGCTGGACTGGGATGCCCTTTCTTCGTGACAATTAAAAACAGCCAAGTGCTTCTGCATGTTTCAGATTTGCTTTTTCCTATTTCCCGGTCTGCCATCATAAGCTGTGAGATACTTTCCATAATTCCCACTCCCGTGCCTAGTTTCTTCCCTCCTGCTAGTACATCTACCTGGAAATCCAAGATCCTTTGGCAATCTGTAAAGCTTGACAGCATCCAATCCTGCAGACCGCCAGCAGTGCTGGTGGCAGGGGCTGTCTGAAGCAGGGGCAGGACTGGAATACTTTTTTTCTTCCGATTTTAGAAGATGTCTGGATAACTATCCTATATTTGAAATGGATGTATCCTAACAAAATAAAACGATCTGCAGATAGGACTCTTGTTAGAGCAAGAAGTGAATGAAACATGAAGCAAAGCCTCTTGGCTACTTCTCTGCGTAAGTGTTTGTGTGCTGCTCTATTCTTGTCAGTAGGTGTGGATGTGAGCTGCCAAAGCATTTTCCTCTGGTACCACACCACCACTTGGCTGTTCACAGGCAGCATGCATCTTGGAGGATCACTGTTGGCTGATCAATGGAGGAAGGCATGACAGCATTAGATCTCAGTCCTCTGGTTTGGTTTGTTGGTGCTAAATTCCCCTTGTGCTACCAAAACCTGTAGCCGAGTTGCTTCAGCATGGGAGGCCTGGAGAGGCCTGGCTGGAAGCTGAGCTGCCTTCCATGCTGAGCACAGGGTACCTTGCTGGTTGATTGGCCTCCAGGTTTTATAGCTTATGGCCGTAACATCAGAAGCCTGATTCTAAAATAAGCTCTGATGGGCCAGCACAGCTGTCTTGAATTCAGGGAGACTTACTGATATCTGGGATTTGACTCTCGGAATTGGGAAGTTTGAGAGACTGACCAAGCAGTTGGTTGAATCCATAAACTTTTGTGGTTTTTTCATTGCCCTAGATGATTATTTTTCTTATACTTCCTACAACTTAATTTTTTCTGCCTGAAAAGACTGGTGTTAGGCTTGTTAATGAAATGCTCAGAAAATAACCATGTTTATTTGTGACTGAAATGGACAATTTTATATAGAAGCTTTTGCAGAGTGGAGAGAAGTTTGAGTTTGGCTTTGGTGGATGCTCCTTGATATAACCCTGGGACCTGAACCTGTGACTCAATGTGACTTAATGTCCTGGAAAGTGAAAAGGAAATGCATTAAAAGCTTTCAGGTTCAGTCTTAACACATATTTAGTATTCCTGCTTCCTTAGAGAAGATAGTGCCCTCAAGAGCAAGCAGGGAAAGACGAGCGCATGGTACTTTTGAACAGACCGCTGCTGCCCCGCCTGGATCAGCATGCTTGGGAGCAGGCAGTGTGCCTGTTCAGAGAGGTAGTTCAGCACATCCTCCTTGAAATCAGGAGCTGGGCACAATCCAAAACAACCCTGGGAGACATTTGGGACATTCTTGTACCAAGCAGGTGTGGAGCTTTCCCTGGGGATTTTACAGTGCTTTTTCTTCCTAGGATAAGGTCTGTCCTCCCTTGAGAGTTCCTCTCCAAACCAAGAACTGTTGATGGAGGGTCTCCTTGTAAATCAAGGAGTAGGAAAGATGTAGTTTTCACTGATGTCATTTTGAGCAAGTAATTTCTTCAAGCAGCATTCAGTGGGGTTTGCCATTTGCTGACACCGCATGATTTGGAGCTGTTTCTCTTGCATTAATTAAGCTGGATATATCTGGATATCTGTCCTTGCAGTTGCAAACTAAGCTTGTTCTTTTCTGCATGTTCCCACCAGCTATCAGTACATGTGCTATTACCACTGTGCTCTCCATCTCAAACAGAATGACTTAAAGTTCATGTCCTGACCTGCATTAGCAGTTTTGTATGGATTTGGAAATGGAAATATGTGTGATGCTTAGCTCATGTGGCAGTTTTTCTCTCATAAAATGTAATTTACAATTGAAAATATAAAAGTTAATTACAGTATCATTCTGAATTATGAAACACTTTGTAAGTGTTAGCACATTATCCAGGCAAGAAAATGCAGGACAAAGCTATATGCACTGTGCTATAACAACACCCTATAAATTGTGCAACGTTGTTTGAGTAAGACCCTATAATATCTGTATATTAAAAATGCCATTGAGACTATGTCTTTTGATAAATCCAAGTAATAAAGCTAGAAAAAGATACTGCTGGAAAGCTGTGTACTCTTCCCTACAAGTCTTTTAACATTTCACTGCTTTCCAGAAAACTATTACAATCAGCATTTAAACTGGTGTTACTTGTTATATTAATTTGAAATTATTTATTTTGTTTATAGACCAAAACAGTGGATGAAGAGAAAAATGCAGACAAACAAGAATTTAACTTTGAAAAAGTAAGTCAGCAGGACCTATCTAATATCTCTATGTTAGTGTGCAGGTATGTGTATTTATATCCTTGGAGAAGCTACAGTTGGACTGATGGGAAATGCTTCCAGAAAAGGTTAAGTCTTCTAGATGAGGATTTCCTTATAGGTAATTTTGGCTGCATGCCTTGTCAAAGGAGGAGCATGCTGGCTATTGTCAACTGTTCTGTGTGAAAAGAGGCGTGTTACAACTTTGTGCCCTTTCTTTCTGGTCTTTCAATGAGAATTTGAGGAGGATCACTGTATGTTAGCTGTGTAAAGCTGTGCGAGTATCCATGTTTAGCAGAGCTCTTTCAGGCCATTGTGTTAATCTTAGATTTCTGATCTCATGGGGGGGGGGGGGAAGTGTATTTGCATCTATTTTTGAAACAGCAGATGAGTGTTTTCCATTTGTCTTTGTCTCATCTGTTCTTACATGAGTATAACTAGCATTGTCCTTCTCAGTGATTTATTTACAGATCTGTGCAAGTTATTTTATATACCTGATCTCTGCTCAGGGATGTGCTGTGATCCAGTGAAATCTCTCACTGGAGATTCTGCATGGAGCGCTGTACTGCCAAGAGCAGTGGGGATTTAACCACTGACTTTAAAAAGATAATGAATTCACCAGTGGTTTTGTCAGGGTATTCTTGTACAGTGTCAGCTGTATGTACGTGCATAGTCAAACCACTTTGCCATCTGCCCGTCTATGTTTCTCACTGGTTAAGTGCTCTGCAGCCAAGGAATGAGGACATTGTGTAAACGCTGGGTGCTGTGGGTAGAGTATTTTATTGTTCTTTGTGTAGCACAATGTAATTTATTTTTATATGAAGGAGATCCATTCCATGTGTTATTTTATGTGAAATGAGAATGGAAAATTGCCCTGACAGTCCTCACCACCCAGAGATTAGATAGACAGAGGTTAACTCTTCTGCAGCACAGCTTTAAATTTAAATTCAGTTGTATTTTATAGCACGCCGATTTCAGGTACTAGCCAGAGTATCTTTGGGAGTATGACCTTGTTGTGGTCTGTCAAGCGTTATTTTACAACAGGTTGGACAGATTATGAAATGCTTCCAATTTTCTGTAATGTTCTAGGCTCGTCTGGAAGTGCACAAGTTTGGAATAACTGGCTACAAGAAGCAGGAGCAACGCATATGGGAACAGGAGCGTGCTATCATGCTGGGAGCCAAGGTAATTGTCACTTGGTTTGTGCTGTCACCCAGCTGTTACAGTGCAGGAAAGCAGTAAAAGCACTGGGGAGGCTTAGCACTACTTGTTTGAAACACAACACGTCCTGCCCTGCCCCTTCTTCCACTTCATCTTTACTTTTACATTTTCTATTCTGTCTTGTCTATTTTATATAGATGTTCATAAAATTGGTATAGCTGTGTTATCAGAGATGTTCTGTAGATGAAATATGACCGATGGGGCAGAAACCAACACTTACTGATTTATTTTTTTTTTTTAATCGGGTATTTCAAAACTAAATTGTTGGAGGGAGGGGCTTGCTTTTTAAAGCTTCATTCTTCCATTGAGTTAAAGACGGGAGAACTTTTCAGTTTTATTTATCATCAGTAGCGCAAAAGAAAAAAAAAAGTAGGTCTTTTTTGGGGGTGGAGGCAGGGTATGGGTGTTCTTTCTAGCTCTGTGTTATGTGGAAGCCTTATAGGACTGATATAAACATCCCTCTTTACTGTCTCTGTGTGTCTACCTTGCATCCCTTTGTCCCTTCTTCTCACTCAAAAGGAAATAAACCATTTCTAATGTTCTACCACCACGTGAAGAACATTGTCCATGCAAGTGTGTGAATACTTTTTGAACCTATTTGAAAATTTCATCAGTGGTATCCCTCCCGCTCTTTATTGCAGCCCCCCAAAAAGGAACATGTGAACTACAGGACTTACCAAGAGAAAATGAAAGAGAAAAAAACAGCAAAGGATGATGATAAGGGAAAGGTTTGTGTTAAATTTTCTGTGTAAAATGGCAGCATGTAAGAGCTAGCCCAAGAGCCTGACAGATAATGCCTCAGGTGCAGGAGGAGTGCCCGAGCTTGTCACTGGCTGCTCCCCACGGAGTGGGTTCCTGGCTCCAGCAAAACTAATCTGATCAGTAAAAGCTGACTGTGTGCAATGTGAAGGGCACGGAGTTAGGCTTGTGTTTTGGTGGGTTTCACTGCTTAATACTTTGAGGCTGATAGATTTATGACACAAAATCACCAATTGGTTTTGGTGGTTTTTTTTTTTCTCTTGCCTCTCAAGCGGATAAAGTGGCCTTCAGTTAAAGTTTGTTGCATGTTGTCTGACCGCAGAGAAACAGATCTTCAGCTGCTTTTATATCAACACAATTCCTTCTAGGATCTTGCTCATTATTTAAAGCAAGGGTGAGGTTTCTGTTGCATCTGTCCTCTAATATGGTCCATCAGGCTCTGAGCCTACTCCCTGCCTTTCCATGGATCCTTCTCATGTAGGTGGGAGCAGAATGTGAGGCAGGTAATTGCTCTAGTAGCCTGTTCCATGCCACCCTCTTTCCCAGGGGACCTACTTCTCCTCTGTCCTGTGGCTCAAAGTGCATCCAGTTCATGACCAGACATGGTTGAACCCTATTTTTTGACAGGTATGCTTGGTCAGGTGATGAGGCACACCTCCCAGGGAGCAAGTCCATCTTTTGACCCAAAGATCTGTCCCATGCCCAAGAAGCAAGCTTCTTTCCTCACGTGGCAGGGGCAGTATGTTGGTCATGAGAGGGCTGTACTTTCCGTAGGGTGACAGGAAGGGCTCTGGGCGCTCCTAGCAGTGCCCCTGTAACGCGTTGCATCACTTGGCTTATTAGAAGGTCTCCCAACCTGCTTTCAGTGTCTGCTGCTCCGTGACACAAAAGCTATCTACTACATGTTTTCTATGCAGATGGTTGTTTAGCCAAGATGCTCTGTTCCTTTTCCATTAAAATACGTATCTTTAAAAACAGGAACATAAAGGTGATTCTCTTAAGAAGAAGAAGAAAGAACAGAAGGAGAGGTGAGCCATTTTTAACATAGTTAAAAATAACTTGTTTTTGTATAGCCTCCTCAGTGTATTTCCCCAATGTAACTATGCACAGTCTTACACCAGAAGTCATGCAGATCACAGTGGAACTTCTCCAACTGCAGAAGGACTCAATCACAAAATGGTGATGTTGCTCTGTGTCTTCACAGTTTCAGAGGCTTTAGTTATGCAGCTTAACTGAAAATATGTCAGTTCTGTCCCAACATGTCTAAGGCTGCAGCCAGAGGTGAGATGGATGGAAATCCCTCAGTGCAGACCCAGGGTATACCACTTAGTTGGAGCATTTGCCCTAAGAAATAATTTGTGCAAAACACAAGCTACTGTATACAGAGGCTTGAAAGGTGAAGTGACATTCTTAATCATAGTGTAGCAGGTTCACTGAAATGTACTCTTTCTAAAAGTCTTCGTGTATCTAAACCCTTTAAAATATAAATCACTCAGTAAGGTACTACAGATTTTGAATGCAGGTAGTAAATGTTCTGGGATCATTATCTGCTATGATTTGATATCCCATAATACCAAACACTGATTGCCTAAATGGGTGACATTTTTCACCATATTAAGAGTTTTCATGAGTTTCTGTTGTTTCTCTTACTACTTTTATTGTTGTTGTTCTCCTGTTTCAGGAAGGCCAAAAGGAAGAAATCAGTGCCTAGCATTTGGCCTGCAGGACAAGTTGGAAAATTCAGAAATGGGACCTTGATTCTGCAAAGCCATGATATAAAGAAGATTAAATCATCTAAAGTTATCAAATGAACTTACAGTACAGAGTGAAATGGACAGTATGCATAAGAAAAAAATTGCATTGCTACCAACACAGACTTACTGAGCCTCTCGCCTTCCCACTATATCGTTTTCATTTTTTACCTTATTTGCTGTTGCGGGGTTTTCTATATTCCATTCTGCCTTGGGAAAAATATGAGAATGTACCATTTTATAAATAAAAATAAGAATTTTTCTAAGAATGTTACACAGACTATTTTTGTTAGTCAACACATGCTAAAGCATTTCACTTTCTAGAATCACCTTATTGGCTGCAAGTAAAATATTCATATAATTCATTAATTAATGGATTAAAATATATAGCTCTTCACTTTCATTTGGAAGAAGTATGGAAAAATCAATACCTTACTTGCTCTGAACCTGAAGCAGGTGTTGTCAAGCATTTATCAGGCATATATCTGTTTCTGTACGAATTGTTACTGGATAGTGGAACTGCTCAATGTTTTTCTTGTCCAGCAAAACCTCTTAAGGTTTCAAAATTATCTGCTTTGGAATGAAAATGGGATTTTCTGAAGTTTTATCCCAGGTAGAGTTCCAGTCTCAACTTGTATATCTCTGCAGAGATCTCTAAATAAGCACTGTTTCGAATGGTGATGTGGTGGCTTGGTTGGTTTGGTTTTAAAAACAAGACCATGCAAGACTGAGCCAAATGAGGCATAGACACTCAATAGCTACTGGTTGTTCATGGTTAGCTCATGTTTGTTTTTAGTGTTCCTATGCTTTGTAAGGCTTTTCTATGAAATCTTCGTCAAAACTGAAGTTTGGATTTCAGAAATGTGGTATTTCTGAAAGAACAGTAGCTATTTTTTGTTTCTTTGTTTTTAAGGTTGTGTTTCCATTAGAAATGGCAGTGGTTAGTAGCCTTCTGAAATGTCCTCTCTGTTCTACCTCAGGCTAAAGAAACCTGAATATTCTAGGGGCAAGCAAAAATCAGGTTAACTGTTAAAGGAAAAAGTTCATGCCATGTTGTTTATATGTCAGGTTATCTGGAGTTTGCTGTAACAGCTCTGGCAGTGAATCATAGTGGTGGGCTTGGATCAGACCTTAAGATCATTCAGTTCCAACCCCCTGTTATGTATTCCACAGGAGCAGGTTGCTCAAAGCCCCATCCAGCCTGGCCTTGAACACTGCCAGGGATGGGGCAGCCACAGCTTCTCTGGGCAACCTGTGCCAGTGCCTCACAGCCCTCATAGTGAAGAATTTATTTCTGGTATCTAATCTAAATCTACCCTCTTCCAGATTAAAGCCATTATCCCTTGTCCTATCACTCCATGCTTTTGTAAAAAGTCCCTCTCCAGATTTCTTCTAGGCCCCCTCTAGATACTGTAAGGTTGCTATCAGGTCTCCCCTGAGCCTTCCCCTCTCCAGGCTGAACAAACCCAACTCTCAGCTTCTCTTCATAGGAGAGGTGCTCCAGCCCTCTGAAGCAGGTGAACAGCAGCATGATCCTCTCCCCCAGAAGCAGCACTGGAGGGTGCCCCCTTCACAGGATAGGGATGTATTCCGGGACAGGGAGAGCCACACCACAGAAGGGGATGCTTTCTGGTACACTCCTTCCTGCACACCTTCCACCTTATTTTCAGGTCCTGGAGAAGTGCCTTGCCAGCACAGAGAAGATTAAGAGGAAGGAGACAGCCTGGGAAGAATAAGAGCTGGGGAAAAAATGGAAGGGAGTGTTTCTGGAGCCATGTGGGAAGAGGGCTGTGCAGAGCTTGGTTGCTAAATACTGTTATCACATTTCATAATTGCATAACTTGATTTATTACTGGTTGCAGATTCAAACCAGAATTAACAATCCTATCCGGTTACAGGCTTAGAGAAATATTAAATCATAATCACGTGTGAAGATGTAATCACTAAGCAGAATTGAGTATAATCGAGACCTGTTGAGGCAACAGATGGGCTTTGGATGTTGTGGGGTAACCTGTATTTTTTAATTCCTGGTTAATCCTTGAGCTTGTTTTTTTCTCTGCTCGCTCCTAGAGAAAGTTTCGTTCAGCTGACTTTGGGTATAATGTGTTGTGGGAGTTCATGTCCTCAATCAGTTTTGGTAACTTAAAGGCTTCACTTTGCACCTCCACAGCTCCCAAAAGCTATTTAGATGTGAAACTTGGTCACAATGAAGTGTCCAGTTTTTGCAGTCTCAAGCTTTTAAACTGTGTTACAGAACGGTTGAAAAAAAATCAGTTCTTAAAACAAAAAGTTGAAAACTGAAACGCAAAGCTGAAAGTGGAACGTGAAAGCTGGGGGGAGGCAGAAAAAAGCTTATTCAAATTCTGCATTTTCTCACTCATTTAACATTGGTGTGTGTGTGCATTATGGAATGTTTCTCTTACAGGGCGATAGGTTGCTTTTTTCATACATCAAATCCCCAAAGTGATTTGAGCTGGCTGTGCTACATTCTCGTAGGATGCTGTTCTCAGGTAAACGTGGTACCAGCAGACCTATTTTGTTTCTAGACGCATTAACAAAAACGAGAACAGTTGACATTTGGCAAACAAACTGTTGAGAACCTGTTACACACCTACTGTTTCTCTGGACTGGTGTGTGTTGTTAATTAACAGAGTATGTATGTGCATGTTCAGCCAGCAAGCTGTGTTGCTTTTGGAGCATGTACAGATAGATTAAAGCCAGTGTTGACTGAGTAACTGATTATGGGCGAGGGAGAGCAGGGACCATCTTATTTTGCCCTCTCTCTGCAGTTGAATAGAGCAATGAGGGATAAAGTAAGAATATCTGCTGTCCTTTGCATGCCTTTTCCTGTGACAGTTAGTTTTATTCCTGTTTCCCCATATACTAAAATAATTCTCTTTCTTTCCTTTGCCATGAAGGAGTTGACACCAAGTTGTCTCTTGGAGGAAGACATTAAAATAAAAGGCCGTGATGGATGGTGTCTCTACATTCTTGTCTGTACTTACTCCTGATTGTTTTGGCCAGGTTTCCATTTCTTGCCCTGGTGCTGCTGTTAGTGTGTTGGCATGCTTTATTCTGCTTTATTAACAGACATTTATGAAGGTTTCATAGCTTTGATGAGTGCCTTTTGCAGGGGTGAGTGTGCTCCCTCTAGCATTGCTCAGTACCTCACAAGGCATCTGCTTGATAGAGGTGTGCAGCTCCAAGATGATACGACATGTTAAATTATCTCACAAAGCTCTATCTTTTCTGCCCTGACAAGCTTTCTGCTCAGTCTCACTTTTACTTTCAGCTGAAGGCCTTTCCAGTCAGCCACGGTTATTTCCAGTCTCTGTTTACTCCAGTGTCAGAAACTTCTGGAGACTGGGAAATCACCTAAAGCGTCTAAGATGGGTTGGAGCTGAATAACACATCCCTGAGTACTCTATAACCAGTGTGAGCCAGAGCTAACAGAGTGGTCCTGAGGAAGTGAGATGTTTCATGCCACTGCATCCAGGGTTATGACTGAAGCTGAGGTACAAATGGCTGCTCTGAGAGAGGCCTCTGGTCTTTCTTCAGCTACCAGATTATTCTTGACTGTGGTAACAAAGCAGGTATCAAAAGTTACGTGTGCATCCTGCATGAGTGCCTCATCTACATTGTGACATATTGTTTTACAGTAATTTTGTAATAATAAAGAGGGTACTGATGCTGAATTTGTTGGCAATGTTTTAAGAATTTATTTAGAAACTGCAAAACAGCATAAACTCATATGTCAGGTTTTCCAAAAGGTTAATAATAATAGTACACAAAGTTTTAGTTGGACCAAAAGACAAAAAGCAGTTTGTTTCTAATTCAAAAAATACAAACGTTTGCTACAGGTACAAAATTATAAAAAGTTTGTATTTTCCTCTTGATCTGGTGACAGACACATACAGCAGAGATGTATATTTCACCAGCTTCAAATTCATATAAGCAATGGGAAATGATGATAAAGAAAAAAATGTCATGGTTAAGAAGAAAACACAGGAACAACTTCTCATCTTTCGTTTAACCAGAAGTAAACATCATTATCTTATTCCTTTGCGCTTTTTTGGTTGCCAACATTTAAATTAGTGTTATTCATGCTTCATATGACAATCAGAAATAACAGCAGGATTACCTCATGCATTTATTTTTAATATTCATCACATAATTCTTCTCACCATGCTACTTAGAAAAGTTAGTGTTTTTATTGACAACATTTAAGGGAGTTGAAGGATGAAGGAATGCAATCAGGATCCAGGAATATGTCTATCTACTGCTTCATAGGAAAACGTCAGAAATCTCCAATTAGCATTAAGAGTAATTTTGTAATGAATTCTGCTTGGATCTGTATGCAGTAACGAATGTAACAAATAGGTTGCTTAACAGAACGGGAAAATGCTGCTGAGTGCCTCTGTCAGTAAAACACACACCTATCCCCCCTGTTGTGCAAAGATGCAGAAGCCCCACGCATCTCGTCTCTGTGGCTTGCATATGCGCTTCTGCATGTAAGAAGACCAAGTGCATCTGAGTTATGATGGATTTGTGCTTCAGGCTGTCACTCCAGCCAGTTGTGTGTGTGTACAGTGTTCAGTAGCGCTGGGCAGAGGAATCACCAGAAATGTTGTCAGTAAAAACTAGAAGCAGCTCACTTTTTTGTTAAAAACAACAACAACAACAACAAAAAAAGACTCTCCATCTTTGCTTGGTAATTCTCTGTGACAAGTGCCCTCTACATTTGCAATGTGGTTGACTTGTTACCATAACCTGATGGACTTGAAACTGTAATCTCCCTTCCAAAGCTGATCTACCCAAGATGCTTCGGGTTTTCATATTATCTTGCCTGGTTCAAAGTTGAATTCCTGACTTCACTATTTAAGCAGAATGCTGCAAAGCTGTAAGGCCTGAGATAAGGTCTAACGACTCTTTCCTCATCTTTCTGTTTGTGAGCAAAGGATGTAACTAGATGGCACCAGAAAGCTACCAGGTTGTTGGTACTTTGCATCCCTTCTCACAGGAGTGGGTAATCTGAATTGTGGTCCAGAAATGTATCACCT